CATCGTACCAAATTGCAGTAGGCATTGCAAGAGGGCTAGAGTACTTACATTGAGGTTGTAGCACAAGGATTGTGCATTTCGATATAAAGCCTCACAACATTCTCCTCGATGAAAACCTAAGCCCTAAAATATCAGATTTTGGTCTTGCTCAACTATGTCAAACGAAACAAAGTATCATATCAATGTTCGGTGCAAGAGGGACTGCTGGATATATTGCTCCGGAAGTGTTTTCTAGAACCTTTGGCCAAGTCTCATATAAATCTGATGTCTATAGCTATGGCATGATGGTTCTTGAAATGACTGGAGCAAAAGATCAGGAAGTCAAAGCAGTCGAAACAAGTGAAAAATATTTTCCACACTGGATTTATGAGCATCTGGAACATGACAAGGATCTAAGACTTCATGGGGTTGTCACTACCAGAGAGGAAGAAGAGACAGTGAGAAAGATGATCCTAGTAGGGTTATGGTGCATTCGGACCAATCCATCAGACCGGCCACCAATGAGTAAGGTGGTAGAGATGTTGGAAGGAAGCTTTAAGTCCTTGCAAATTCCTCCAACCTTTCTTTCTACTGCAATCTCTGACCCATCAGCCCAAGACACTTCCAACTCATTATGGACATTGAATATGGTGAAGAACATGTCAGAAGGAAGCCTTCAATCTATGCAAATTTCAGCAATGCCTCTCCTGTTTTCTACTGCAAGGTCTAACCAGTTAGCCTAAGACTCTTCCAAGCAAGGTTTCAAAAAACGGTTACGGTTGCTGTAACGGTTGCAGTGATGCGATTGCGGGGTGTAAAGGTTGTAGCATAACGGTTGTGGTAACCAGAACCGTGAATTTTTTTATTTTTTACACAATTTAAAAAAAAAAACTTACCAAATACGCATATTTTTTTTTTTTTCATAATCACATTTATTAGGGTTTAAAATAGATTTTGATCAATTTTTATTAGTTTTTAAGTATAATCCAACATATTTTATATTTTTAAATCACTATAATGAAATGAATTATTTATATATTATTTCAATAGTTAATGACTTTATATGTCATAAATCCATATTGTACTTCTTATTTTTATTTATTTTTTAAAAAATAATTGACTTTAAATGTCTACAAAATTATTTTTGACCAATACTTAAACTAACTAAAATAAAAAATATTTACAATTATTAAATAAAATGATTATAAAAATAAAAATTGAGACAAACAAAAATTATTTTTGAGCTACTGAACATTGCAGAATGTGTATAATGTATATTTTGTAAGTTTTTTTTTTTGTGGAATGAAAGCTATTCAGAATATTGAAAATATGTACGATGGTGTGTAACGGGCTGTTACAGTACCGCTGCAGCCGTTACGTAACACTGAAACGGCCGTTACACGTGTGAATTTCCGTCACACCGCAAAAGCGAGTGTAATGGGTAGTGCCTACTGTCGCAACCGTTACGTAACACCGCTTTTTAAAACCTTACTTCCAAGTCAAAGTTGTTACAGGCAGTAGCCCAGGTGCCTTCGGCAACTGCATGGGCACTTCCAGCTACCAAATTGCCTAGGTGATGCTCTCCAAAGCCATAGCTTAATCAGGTGACTACCCAAATGTTGAGTTTAGGCAACTTTTCTATGTTGCACACTACAATTGTGATTGATCTCTACAACTGTGATCGATCAGAGTGGCCCAGCGCATTGATTCCAAGGTGGAGCATTCTTCGTGTTCTGTGAGTCTCGATTTGCTATTTTTAGTCGAATAACCTTCCAAACGTTTGTTTAACAAGTTTGAATAGCTCAAAGTTGTGTGCAAGGCCTTGGTATGCCACAGATAACACTTTGGAGATTTTAGGTTCTTGTAAAAGGCTCAAACCATGGTAACTTCTCAATCAGTTAGCCCACAAGTCTAGTTTTATCTATTTTTGTGCAATCAAGTGCAGCATTATCATCCAATGGAGACTTTTTGGCAAGCGTTATCAAATCATATAGATTGACCAAATAGTTGTCTTTTTATCATCTTGCTCGATCTTGTAATGTAATCTGTTTTTATTGGGTGTGTGTCATGGTTTGTACTGACCTGGGCTGGTCCTATCATAGATGGTTTTTTTATGTAGTTTGGCCCTTTCTTAGGTTGGTCCTGCCACATTGCTACACTTTGAATTCAAGGCAGATTAGAAGTTTCTAGTCCAGAATTGATGCATTTTGGAATTCTTCTAACCATCCTTAGCAACCATAACAAATCAGATCCATCCCAGTTCATAATTTATAATTCCATAACTGTAAAAGCAAATATTTTTCTTGTAGAATTATCCTAAGTAGAATAAAAACTAAATTCAAAATGAATCACTAAATTGGTCATTAATGCTTATGTCAAAAACAAATGAAGAGAAAATGGAACCAGTGTAGAACTAATCAAAAACAAGGATGCTTTAGTTGTTTGTAATTAAACTGATCACTAGAACAATGGGAAGCAATCACATAGGTTAGAAGGGATTAAAAAAATAAAATGACTGCATCAGTATCAGTCAATAAAAAATATTTATTTATTTTATAACTCATTATTTGGCTCACTGGACCGACTAATCTGGGGAATCAATCCCACCATTCACTTGCGGGATGCCCAATTAAAGCAGAGGCAAAGTCCCAGACTAGCCCCAAGAAATTGTTTCCACTTAGGAGGTTTTGAAAATGAGAGCTTAAAGGAAGCATGCCCCCAGGCCCCAGGTAGAACACCTGAGACCTTACAGATACAATACTGATTGTTAGATCACCAATTAGCTAAGTTAAGAGAACTTTAGACTATATGAACTAAGTTTGTGTGGCTTAGAGAAACGAAGTGTAACAAGTTTGCTAAGACTTAACACTCCCCAGACGTGGAGATGATAGAGAAAAGAAAAGAAAAATTAAAGAAAAACAGAGAGAAATAGACCCAAGACTTAGAATTGACTCCAGAGACCACCCAAGACCCAATTTTGATAAATCTATCAATTGTCCCAAAAGCTTAAGCTAGTTAGAAAACGAACCCAACAATGTATATTAAGATAACACTGATGAAGCAAATTATTTGGAAAGAATGGATTATAAGGAAAAACTCATATTCATATCAGCTCATTTTCAAGATTTCAGCAAACCACTAAAAACAGATTGTGAGTAGGTAGGAAAATTCAAGATAAGTTCCCCATATCTGAAAAGAGCAATGAGCTTCTGATATTGTCTACAGATCCCCTAATAGGAGGTATCACAATCTCAGTAGTTTACTAATTGTGCTAATGATGAGAATTTCTAAAGCAGATTCCAAAATAATAATAATAATAATAATAGAAACAGTGAAAACAGAAATTCCTATTGAAATTGTCTTTATCAATAAGCAATTCTAATACTGAAAAAAACAAAACCCAATTCGAGTTGGTGGGTATCAGATTCTTCAATTGTTTGAAAATTTGAAGATCCAGGGGTTAAATTATTGATTCCTATGGAGAGAAATAAAATACAGTAAAGAGAAATTCGCAAAAAAGATAAGATTTTGCTTACCAAGAACTGAAGTGCTGTCCATCATCAATCTTGTAACCCTAAAACGTTCTCTCTCTGTTGCTCTATCTCTCTCCTCATTTTATGGTGCGGAATGTCTTGTAAAATTATAGGGCAAATTACATATATCTCGAGATTTAACAAAATTACAGATATTTATTGAAGTTTGAGAAATTATAGATATCCTGAAGGTACTATTTGCATAACAAATTAGAGGGTAAATTGTTATAAAAATAGAAATCTCAGGGAATAATTTGTTATGAAAATATAAATCTCACGAGTATCTATAATTCCGAAACCTCAAGAATATCTGTAATTTAGTTAAATCTCGAGGAGATATATGTAATTTGTCCAAAAATTATATTACGGGACCTATAAGTGGGGTTTGAGAAATGTTTTTTAAACACTTTTTCTTCTTCTTTTTTGAAATTTTGCTGTTGGAAAAAAAATTAGTTAAATCGCAGACCAAAAAAAATTTAAAATATTTTTAACTTTGAAAGCCTAAAAGAAATAAAAAGGTCTAATTTTAAAAAATAATATGTGTTTGGTTTGAGCTTTTTGAATTAAATTTTTTGAAAATTAAATTTTTTGATTTTCGTATTTTTTTTATTTTTAGTGAATATGTCTAAAATTTTAAGTATTTTTTTACTTTTTTAGATATATCTTAACTTAAATGTATCTAAAAAATAAAAAATATGTTAAAAAATTAATAAATAGATAAAAATATGAAAAATATATTGAATTCTTGTATTTTTTTATATTTTTGGTATTTAGTGAATTTTTTAAATATTTTTTTCACAAAAATTATACTTTTATGTGTATTTATGTTAAATGTGTCTAAAAATTAAAAAAATTGCTTAAAATATTTAAGAAATTCAGTAAAAAAACAGAAAATAAGAAAGTAAAATTTTCTGAAAAGTGTTTTTGAAAAACCAAAAATAAGTTTTTTTAATTTTATGAACTTTTTTTAATTTAATTTAATTTTTAAAATCGTAAGATCTTTTTATCTATCTAGAACGACCTGGTTGAATTTACACAACTTACTTTCTGAGTCTTTATTTTTTCACAATTTAGAAACTAATTTTAAAATAATTTTTTTAAAATAATTTTTCTTTGCCAAAAAATTAAATGAAAATAATACTTCTTTTTTTTTTCCTCACTAAACTAGTTTTTGAAAACATTTTAGAAAAAGAATTACAGAAATTAAACCAAACAAGTTTTAACAAAAATATAAAAATGTCACAAAAAAGTTAATAATATGTGGTAAAAATGCGTTTGTCAATAATATGAGTTAGGTTGCTTAATTTAAATTAACTTGCGCAAATTATCTGGTCCACTTTTTAACCTAGAATTTCATATACACATAATCACATGCAAATTACACGAATTAGCTAAAACTGAGTGTTCTTTTTGTAAAGATCAAACTTGAAACCTCGAGAGAAATTACCTATAATTGAGAGCCACTTGGCCACCACCAACACATTGGGGGAAGCAAAATCATGCATATGCATACATCACTATTTCATTTCTGAAACATTTTCACATGATTCTTCAGAGAAATTTAAGGTCACATAACAACATATGCAATGTGAACTATGTAGGTATATAAACTTTACAATTGAAGTGCACACACACACACTCACTCTCTCTCTCTCTCTCTCTCTCTCTCTCTCTCTCTCTCTCTCTCTCTCCCCCAGTATGTGTATGCCCAAGAAAAACTAAAACATTGTTAAGAGTTAAATTGACTCTGCAGTCATGGACTAACACTAAAACCGACTTTTCTAGTCAATAACTTGATAATTTAACTAGAAAAACAACAAAAATTTACAAACAAACCACACGCCAAAACAAGTCAAATTGGAACACGAGCTTTAACAAATTGAATCACAGAAGAATTTAGGCCAATAAGGATGAAGGCATATACGCTACGCATCACATGTTCTTGGACTCATCATCCTCGGTAGGATAGCAAAGAGTTCCAAACATCCAGTCCATCCATATTGTGAAGTGACCATAATTGTGGCAGTATGTGATGTGGTGGACGGTGTGGTAGCCCGCGCCCATTACAGGCCAGAGTTTTGCATTGATGCAGTCGTGAATGTTTACCGTCCATAGTAACTCCAAAAATACGAGGAATATATGTGTTTTGAAATGCATTGGCACTAGGAAGAGCGCTATAACGTGCGGTAGCGCCTGCAGTACCCCATCCAATGGGTGGAATGCCAAACCTGATACAAAAGGAGATGAATTAGTTTATTTAGATACATAGGGGCAAAGGTGCAGATTATATGAGCCACTTATGGTTTTTTTATATTTTGAGTTGGTGCAGCTTCTGTTACGGGAGGGGTGCTTTTGGTTTTTGCTTTATGATGATTAGTTTTCAGATAAAAAGCTGCACCAAACAGGCCTATAGACTAAGCTTTCAACTATGAGGATGCTCAGAAACATGAAAATCGAGCATAGAGATCGTGTTTCAATGGGCAACTGAAGAAGAAGATCCACCCTTCAGTCAAGTTGTCTCCAGGTACTGAGGGGTGAGGGAGTAATCACCAATGAGATATACATTAGCCAATAACAAGAAGAAGTAAGTTTAAATCTTAGTGATATATCAAGATTCTAAGCTCAATTGATTATCCACCAAAATCTTTATTACACCATGTCAGAAATTGTTTAAATGGCAAGAATCAAAATTTTCCATTTTACTTTGAAAACAGATCGTAAACCTCCGAGCATTTCCTGAGAAATGATGGTTCCAAGTGATAATACTAGCCTCATAATGCACTATAATACACATGAAAATGAGTGAGGTTTTGGGAGATGAGTTTTCACCTATTCTACGGCTTAATAGTTGAGAGGGAAAAGTTGGAATCTAACTTGTGTTCTAGAAATTGACTGCAAACGAAGTTATCAATTTGATACTGATGCAAGGCTAACAGTGGTCTATGAACAAGCAATTTCTATATGTTGTTTCCCTCATCTTCCAAAGATTCTTATGCAAAGATTTTGAACATACTTTGCAATCAACGTGTATGATTTACCACATTACCATGATCTTCTAATAAGGTTGCAAATGAACCAAGCCAAGCTGAGCTTTGAGGTATTTGGGCTCAGCTCAGCTGCACCGAGAAGGTTGTGTTCGAACTCGAATCATGTTCATAAAGAGTTCAGCCGCACTGATCAAAACTCAGCTAGTATTTCAAATCAGACAAGCTGGGGCTCAGCTCAAATGTGTGATCAACCACAAATAAAATATCCAAATGGGTGTCAAACGCACCGAATAGAAAAAGAAATTGTTTTGTTGCCTCCATTCCATGAAAACCGTATCAGTAAAATAATTATATGAATAAATGAAAAGAGAAGAGGAGAGAACATATATCAGTAAATAATGGTCAAACTGAGCACATATCGACTGAGGGCTTTCACACTGAAAGCTCTATTGTTTACATTTTTAATGAAGATCTAGAGTGCTCAAGATAATCTCATTCGAGTGTTATCAGCCTTACATGCAACTACTTTGTCATCCTTTCCTTCAATCTAAAAGTATTTTCTTCATTCATCTGAATTTCTTTTATATAAGTCTACATGAAAGCCTTTATAGATTTACACTTAATACAGCATCACCATGTTGATAAACCTAGTTGAGCTGAGCTAAGGATTGTACAAACTTGTTTTACCATAACAAGTAAAAAGAGGCGGGGGTATTTGGCCACAGATGTTCTAGATTAACAAACTTCCCAAATTCAATCAATCATAAATAAACAAAAATCCTATAACAGGTATAACCTAAATGAAAAATCATAAGAAAGAAAGAAAAAGAAATAATGGCATGCTATAACCAATTACATAATCGACCAGGGAAAAGGGAAAAGATCAATCAAACACAAACAATAAGAAATGGCAAGATTTAACATGGCAACATCCGCAGAAAAAATGCATCCAAGAGAAAGCAACAAAACAAGAAAAATAAGAAAATGAAGGAGAAGCAGTCAAAATTACTGTTTTTCTTTTTTTTTTTCTTTTTTTTTGACATTCACAGCTGAAATATGCTGCTTGGCTAATCCTAATCTTCACTCTTCACTCTGTTTGCTACTTATTGCTAACCACAAATCAACAATTGTGATTCCACCAAGAATCAGAAAGGAGTACTCACCAGCAAACGGGGAAAGCGTATTCTGCTTGTTGTAGATGTGATGCGTTGCATGAAGATACTTATAGAGAGGTTTGATGTCGTGCAATTCCCTATGCACCCAGTAAATCATGAACTCCACACTAACAAGATAAACCATTAAATACACGAGGTAGGCAGGCCAACTGACATCACTCATTCTCACGAAACACCTCGTCCAACCACTTTGGATCATGAAATCGGAAATTGTAGGAACAATAGAGTAGCATGGCAATCCCTTCGTTGCAACAGATATTTGCAAGAGCATGGAATTTGTTGAAGGGATGGCATCTACAACAACACCGTTCATTAGATGTACAATTTTTCTTTGTTTTGTGGAGACAAAAGAGAGAACATTTACATTCTAAAGATCGACTCTGAATACCTATAATAATTGCCTAATTGTGTAGCAAATGTGTAAACTTGGAAAATTGAATCTCAACAATGTCCAAGATCAAAAATCTAACAATGATACATGAAAGTGAAAGCTCGTGGAAACAATTTCTTGAAAGGGAAAACATTAATGCTCAAGCCTATTATACATCATGTGAAGATCATGAATTGAATGCAAAATGAAACCGTTACCACAACCTTAACATTGTCTCAAAAAGAATCAAAATTCCATCATTTTCCTACAAATAAACAAAAACAAATCATTGAGATAGGCAATGTTCAAACCTATACCAACTCAACGACTAAAATTTTACAACTAGATAAGATTATTTTAAGATTCATATGATTTCAACTATTGATGATGATAACACATCAAGAAATAAGCAAAAGTCTATTCCTAACACAGAATTATGAGTAACACAAATAAACAGTAATTCATAAATTGACCACAAAATAAAATAAAATTGATTGAAAACTTTTAAAACATATATATATATTGAATTGAGCACAAATAGGAAAATTAAGAACTAATAACTTTTAAGAAAATCCCAGTTGGTAATGAGATCAAAGATTTAGTTTTCATAAAACAAATCATGAAGACAAACAGGAAAAAATATGCATCGCTTTACCTAAAGACATTAGAAGGTACAAATTATAATTTTTTTTAAGAGAGAGAAAGAAGAAACGGACACAGAATCTGATACAGACAAACAACTTGCTTTGGAACTTTCCATTATTTTTCTCTATAAAAACACAAAAACAAAAACAAAAAAACGAAATCGAAAACCATACCAAACAAACCCTTAACAGTCTATTCTTTTTTTGGTAAAATTTAACAGTCTATTCTTGATTTAACTAAAAACACTAAAAAAAAGAGAATAAAATTGACAAACAAAGACATCACACATACATGATAAAAGTATATTAAAACATTTATCATAGAAACAGAGTGATTCAAAACCCATCAAATCCCCCCCCCCCACAAATTAGTTACAACCCCAAAAAAAAAAAAAAATCAATCCACTAAAACTAAATAAACAAGAAACACATATCTAAATATCAACAAGTATTAAAAAAAAAATTAATAAATAACAGGTAATTAAAAGAGAATGACAATCAAACAGTGAAAAATCCAAAAAAATAAAAACCAACCATGCAAACTTCTCTGAAATCGAACAGAAAGAAGAAACAATTGACTGATCACTAAATCAAAACCCACAAGAAAGAACAATACACACCCACATATATACATAGAGAGAGAGAGAGAGAGAGAGAGAGAGAATGTGCCTTTGGGAAGATAAACATTGCGCTTCAAATAATAAAGGTAGAAGCACCAGAGGAAACCAGAGAGGAAGTAGATGAAGTTAGCGGCAATGTAGTTGCGGAGCCATGTCTGGAAGAAATGGGGAAGTGGGTCCCACACACTGTCCGGCAAACAAGCCCCCAGGATTAGCCGATTGTAGAACGATGCCTCTTCCATGAAGAGCCGCCGGTACTCTTCCATCTCCGGCGATGTGGGTCAGATTCCGGCGAGAATTGGGAAGTGGGTAAGAGAAACAGTAAAGACGGCTCCAAGCTGGAAAGACGACATACACGAGCAACAGAGAGAGAAAGAGAGAGAAAGCAGAGGAGAGTGAAGAGTGAGAAAGTGAGGGAGAGGGAGTATTTTAAGAGGAATAATAGTGTGTAAATGGATTCTCGTGTGGAGTGGGACATGTTTGGGACAAAGAACCAAAAGTAAGGAGGGTTTAAAAAGAATGTTTCTACTTTGTGGTAATATCTTTTCTTTTTCCTTTTTTAAAATATATAATTATTTATTATCCAATTTATTTTACCTTATCTTTTCCTTTTTTAAGGTTTTTTTTTTTTAGTTTTGAATTTATTATCAAATTTATTTTACCATATCTTTGTATTAATATATTATTTATTATCAAATTTATTTTACCTTCTATTTTCCTAAAGATAAAGGTCTTGGTAATTGAATTAGACTCGTTTGAAAATTAATTATTTCAATTAATTTTTAAAATTTTTATATAAATAATATAAAGATAATAATGTGACAATTTTGAGTGGCCTTTGACTTTTTAACAAGAAGGCTAGAACATCTACTTAGATTTAAGTAATATTAGATATTTTAAAAGTTTTATTAAAATCTTTATCAAATATTTCACGTGCATTTGGAATTAATATGGGACTCATATGGTGTAGGATTCACATGAATCTCACACTTATGCAAAATATTTGATAGAAATTTAGATAAAATTTTTAACGTTTTCTTTAAATTTTATAAAAAAAACTGTGGAGCCCAAAATAAAATCTATAATTATTTTCACATTTTGAATGAATATTCAGTACAACTCAGACATTTTTATGGAATTAGATCTGTGGTTCGGGGATTGTCGTTACTACGAGTGGCTTCACCTCATAATTAATGCTATATAAATTTTAAAAAATTCATATATAATGATATGATTTATTGTAGATTTTTACTTCAAAATAAAATATCATTTAAAGGTGAGTTTATTTATAATGATGGCATTACCACATAATTCTGGATAATATTTTTATGAGATTTTTATTGATAAATCCATTCTAGAGTTGTTATAACCCATTAGGTTCACAGGAATATTATAACCTGATTAGTCCCATAAACTTTTCTTTTTATTCCATAAGGTCCATTTTTCTAATTTAATATGATTTCTTGGACTATTTTGCCCCTGTATATATATATATATATATACAGTGTTAATACGTATTACGTGCCTGTTTCTTCTCTGATTCAGTTTGGCAGTTTCTATTTTACACTTTTCATCATCAATCCAATTCCGAGAGATACGTTTATGTTTTGCATGCTCGTTCCAAGGATTGGTTGTGCTAGGGTTTCATTCTTGCTGTTGTAGTCTGGTTCTGTGGTTTGCGAGTGAAGACGACGAAGAGGAAGGTGTTCGGTTGTTACATTTTCCGGACTATAACTAGTTCAAATCAGTTTTTTTCGACTTTGTGGATGATTGTAGTATTGCATGATTAAGGTTAGTATCAATTGGTTATGACTACATGTTCAGTTTATGGTTTCATTCGTATAATGGATCAGATGCTCTGTTTTTGGATTTGTATGGATTGGATGCTCTGTTTTTTCAATTATATGCATACGTTGTCCTGTGGAGGAGAGTTCATTCATATTATGTGAAGAATGTGTAGTTCTCATTTTACTTTGATGTATGCGTAATGAGGCTCTTTGTGGATAATTTGATTATCAGTATATATATCAATGTGAATGTTCACATTTTGTTAATGTGGAATATGTGAAGAATGTGGATGTTCTCATTTTAAATTGATGTTTACTTAATGAGGCTCTATGTGTGTGATATAATTCAGAGTGTATGTGTCAATGTAAATGTTGGCATCTTGTTTATATTATGTGAAGATTGTTGATATTCTCATTTTACTTTGATGTTTGCTTAATGTTGACATCTTGTTAATATCAATGTGAATGTTCACATCTTCGTATTGTGAATTATGGATTTAGCACTTGAACTATACACATAGTCATCTATTTTTTGCACAATGTGAATTTTCATATCGATTTTGATTACTGTTCATTGTTGTGTTCTTGTGTTTTTACAGGAAATGGATACATTTATGCTGTTGGTGTGTACATATGGTTGTAGTACAGCTGTAATAAATGTTGCCCGCGCAATGTGTTATTCTCGTTTGGTGGAGTGTTTGTGTGAGAAATGGGATGAGTTGTCTGCTGGTTCTATTTCATTGTTCTGTAAACTACCTGGGATTAATAAGTGTGATTTGGACAATGAGGAAGAATTTCAGAACATGTTACTGCTTGCTAAATCAATGGGGGTACAACATGTAGAAGTTGTGGTTGAGTTGAAAAGTGATATTGGTCAGTCAAGTAGCTCGGGATCGCTGCGTGTGGGGGTTGAGGATGAAATTGATGCACTACGGAGATTTTGCCACCATAAGGAGAAGGTGTTGTTCATCAATACTATCCTTTTAAGACCCAAAATACACATTTATGAGTCAAAATGACAAAACCCCTCTTTATACATTTAGAACCCCAACACCCAAAATCACCCAACTTCAACATTAAATCAAAAGGACTAAAAAAATTATGTCAAAGATCATATAAATGAGTAGTTATCCCTACCTCAAATTTGGAGCTCAAAGGAAGAAGATGAAGAAATTCGAAGTGCTCCAAACCCCAATATTTTCGGATCAAAATGTAGCCC